TTTTCGTTCTCTCGCAGGTGACTGTGTATCTTCTGAAGCAATTATCAGCAATGTAACACGAAAAAGCCATTTCCATATGAATATTTAAAAAATGCATGGTTCTCAAGTCGAATCAAGAATTCAAGAACTATGATCTTTGAATTCCACTGAAGAATTATTCAAAAAATCATATTGAGCGCTTCACCGACCATAACTTTCTTGTGTTGCTCATCGAAACGTCTCTCCATTAGAGCCAGCACTTCCTCGTTCTTCAACATTTCTGCTCTCAGTTCTTGTTTTTCCTCATCTCTCTCATTTTTCTCACGTTCCAACTGGAAATGGAAAATTTTGTGAGAATACTATTGTGCTTTTCTTTCTTCTAAGAAATCAGTCGACAGAAGGAGTAATTCATTTCAAAACAATCACAAAAGTCAGGAGAAACTCACAGCACGAATCTTTGCTAGCGCTTCGTTTAGTAACGCTTGCACTTCCTCACAATGCTCTTGCACGTCACTAATCTCCTGTAAGAAGATTGCTGATATTGGTCGACTGAACATTGGCATAAAATTTTGCCATGTAACTGGATCCATAGTGTTGGTATTTCATTATTGCAAACTTCGAAAAAAATCTCAGTTTCAATAAGTATTAGAAAACTTATACGCAATCATAATAACGTTCGAGGTGTGTCATTTCTTCAATGACTACAATGGCATCTTCAATTTTCATTATTGTCCACTGGATGACAATTTCATACGGTTCCATATCGTTCCAGGAAATATTCTCACTCAGACATTCAAAGAGTAGTTTAGGCTTTTAGAATAAGAAAATTTCCCACATGTAGCAATTGTTCGTTCTCGTTTTCGAGTTCTTCAAGTCGTTCTCGGTCCTTATTCATTGGAATCATTTCCTTGATATGACCGTATAAACGATACCATTTCCATGTGGATAGTTCCACGTATGTTCTTACGTTCCTCTGTATGATGAGTGTTGCATTTCTAAAATCATTCGTAAAGCATATTTTCCTCAACAGAATTGTTGGTGCCAAAAAAGGCATCATCCGCCGTCTGGCGATTGTCATTTATGATCATACATTCATCTCTAATGACATCCAATTGAAGCCTTTAGTTTTCGTTAGTCGGTAGATGGGAGAGATGCTAATTTAGATGTCGTTTTTCGATTCAGTTCATTCAGTTTACATCGATATGACATAAGTAGTTTAAAAATCATTCTTATCCTACATATCTCTAAAAAACATAATCTCATCCTCCATATTCAGATACGTCGAAGATATGAATACGTTTTCTAGTCATGAGTACTACTGAAGTGATATTGTTGAACTAGATGAGATGGAGACTTAATTGACTGAATTGATGCGATCGATGTATTGCAAAATTATAACAACCTTTCTTTTAGTTTTTCGCTAAATCGTAGTTGCTCATTGTACCAC